TTCAGGATTTGGGGCATGCACACACATATGCCTGGCATGATTTATTTTTATTTTATTTTATTTTATAGAGATTTTTTTGCCATAGGGCATGTGTGTTCACCAGAGAGACAGAGATAGAGACAGAAATCACTGTCTGTTTCTCTTTCTGGTGAGTGCACATGCCCTATAGCAAAAACCTCTCCCCCCCAAAAAAAAAATCACTTTCTACTCAGCCCCATCCACAACTACCAAGAGTGAAAAAACTTCACCTTCTACTCGGGCCCATCCACAACTACCAAGAGTGAAAAAACTATCCAATCTAGAGGGTTCTGGGCAGACTCGGTAATTATCTCTGAATTGGCAAATACCTCTGTAGTGAGCTGAATTCTCCCCTCAAAATATGTACTCACCCCAAATTTTGTCCGAATCCTAGAACTTGTGCTACATTATATGGCAAAGGATTACTAAATTAAGGATCTAGAGAGAAGGAACTTATCCAAAATAATCCAGGTGGGCCTGAAATAAAATCATATGTGTTCATTTTATTTATTTTTTTGAGAGATTTTTGCTATAGGGCACATGCACTCACTGGAGAGACAGAGAAAGACAGAGACAGAAAGGGAGAATGCACCCTACTTCCCCACCCCTCATGAAGGATGGCCATACCACAATCATATGTGTTCATTTTATTTTATTTATTTTTTTGAGAGATTTTTGCTATAGGGCACATGCACTCACTGGAGAGACAGAGAAAGACAGAGACAGAAAGGGAGAAATCACCCTACCTCCCCACCCCTCATGAAGGATGGCCATACCACAATCCCTTCTCCTCCATTATCCTCTTAGGATTTTGGGTACACACACAAACACACTTGGCATGAGTTTCAAGCAGCCAGATCTGGGACTGGAACTGCAGTCAGCTACATGGGAGTCCAGCAATGTAGCCATTACGCCATCTGCTGGTCCCCACTTGTATTCTTATAAGAGGCAGGGAGAGTTTGGGGGCAGACACAGAGAAGGCAGTGATATAAAGATAGAGGCAAACTGGATAGATGGGGAGTGCCAAGGAGTGCTGGCAGCCACCAGAAACTGAATAAGGCACGGAACAAATAAATCTCAAGTCCTGGGAGAGAGGATCACCCTGCCACCACTTTGATTTTGGACTTCCCGTCCCCAAGGGTGAGGGAGAGTAAATTTTGTTTGTTTTAAGCCACCAAGTTTTGTGGGGATTTGTTGCAGCAGCCACAGGAAATACACACCCTTCTAACATGCAAACGTATTTAGCCAGATCCCAGCAGAGGTCAGGAATGATGTGACTCAGAGTGTAAGAATTACGCTCTTCTAGATGTTGTCTCAAGGACTCAAGTAACAAAAAACCCACAGATCCATTCCTATGTACAAAATTAGAAGACACTTAGTTACACAAGGGCTTGGCTTGGCATTTGAGAGACTAGAACCCCGACTGTTGAGAGGAAAAGCCTGAGGAGAAAGAACTGCCACATTAGGGTAGAAAAAAGATCCTCAGAGTATTGATCAGCTAAGCATGTGGCGAGGTGACTCGCATTTTCAATTTTAGAAAGAGATCTGCAACAGGCTGGGCTGATGGCAGAGGGACCATGCCCTGCTCATTTTCTGACCTTTGTAACAAAGGTTTAGAGTTGCATTTCGGCATGGCGAAGGGGTTAAGAGGGTCACCAACACTCTGGAAGTTGTGTGGATACGAAATTGGAAGCATCATGGAAAGTTTCCATTCTTCCACTTCTCACAACCTCGTTTGTCCCTTACTTCCATAAATATGTATCAAGCACCCACAGTGAGCCGGGCACTGAAACAGAACTTGAGCAAACAGCGATGGACATGAAAGTCACAATTCTGTCTCAAGAGGCCTCTCCAGAGAAATGGTTTTCAGCTGGGGTGATTCTGTCCTCCCAGAGGGCATTTGGAAATGTCTGAAGACATTCCTGGTTGCCATGACTGGCAGGGGGAAGAGATTACTGGCATCCAGTGGGTAGAGGCCAGGGAGTTTGATGAACACCCTACGGTGCACAGGGCAGGTTCTCACACCTGAGAACCATCTGGCTCCAAATGTCAACAGTGCTGAGGCTGTGAAACACTGTGGACCTTGGGTGGCCTATATGGGCAATACCCATGACACAAATGGTGGATGGATGGGCTGCGGAGGTGGGAAAGAAGAGCACGCAGAACAGAGAATCATCCCACCCCAAGTGCTCAGAACCATCTCCCTAAAGAAAGTGACGTCTGTGCTGTGACCTGAAGCATGAGGGGGTGTTCCAGGCAGGAAGAGCAGAAATGCCTTTAGGTGACTTACCTCCCTAGTCAGGCTGGAGGGGAGAGTGTGCGAGTGAGTGTGGAAGACAGAGGAGGTGGTGGAATAAACAAGGAAACCCCTCGAGAGGTCTGTCCCATCACTTCTGTTTGGGAAGGGCAGTCTAACTCAGTGTAGTGTTAGGACCACGGGCTTGGAGTGAGGTCTGAACTTAAGTCTCAGCCTCACCTCCTTCTCCCCATGTGGCCTTGCACAAGACACAAAACTCTGAGAGTCTAAATGCATTTTCAGAAAATCTAGCAGAGGCGGTGGGGGAGAATGCAATCTACCTCAGGTGGTAGTGTCAGGATGAAATGAGAAAATGCACATCAACAGCTTGGCACACTGCCACGAACAACAGATATTGTTCTTATTTGTGTTTTCAAAGGTCACTCTGGGCCCGGTGCGCAAAATAAAATGGGAAGGACGACCAGAAACGCTCCTCCCTGGGAATACAAGGCAAAGCAAAAACAAAATACTGAGACTTTACAGAACAAAAAGTAGCTTGAGCAAAGCAGGGTTTCCGAGGGGCTTTAAAGTCCTTGATGCGACACCGTGCTAACCTTAAGTAACAACAACAGCAACAGGAGCAGCTTCCACGCTCATTGAAATCGCCATGCTTTGAGGTACAGATGTCCTAGATAAATGGAACAGTGTACATATCATATCCGTCCATCTCGTCAGGGAGAGAAATGAATCCGGTGGCAACCTTAGGAAGATCTTTATTGCGGCCCCTCTTCAGTGACAAAGATGAAGATGGCACTCTTGTCAGGGTACGGCCGAAGAACTTGAATCCCACACACGGCAAGACACACCCCACCACCACCACCACTACCATGTACACCTCTAAGAGAATCAGCCTGATCTAATTTTACATAAAGCTGCTTGCTCAAAAATAGCTGCTAGGACAAGCACTTCATTTTGACACCCTTGTGACCTCCCTGAATGTGACTCCAGGATCCTTTATATCAACGATCCTTAACTGGTGACGGTGTGATTTCTCAAGTTTATTCCTGGTGAAGTAAGTCTCAGTAACTGGAATTAAATCCTTTCTGCTTGATGCCATGATGAGACTGAGAAGGATACGTGGGAGTAACTGTTTCAGAGACAAAAGCGTGACAGTTGCTCTGTAAGGGTGCTTTGCTTTCAGAAGCTACTGGTGATGGCAGAGTTACACATTGTGGGGAAAGACCCACTGCAATCGGTAACCTTCAACGCAAGCAACACATCATACAAACCAGGTATGCAAGGCAGAGCAAATGAAATCAAGGAAGGGAGTAGGGCAGTGTGACTGACCCCTCAAGAGAGGACAAGACAATTTCAGGGTATCTCAAGTCACCACCCAACACCCACAGGGCACCACTGTTTCTCTTGATGAGGGACGGCCCAGACTCCCCAGAGGTAAATTCCCAATCACAGAAACAAGTGACCAGCCTTGATCTGCACATACTAAGTTGCTTTTATTAATCCAGAACGGCATGCTACAGATACTGTACAGCATGAACATTTATTCATTACAAAAATGGCTTCCAAACCATTAAAAATGAACTTGGAATAAGAGCATAAAACGGAACAGTAACATCACAACTGTTAGGAAACATTCAAAGTATTCACAAAAAATGTTATAGTTAGCATTTTAATAAACCAGAGAAAGATCGGAGACAGTTTTACAATCGCTTCATGTCAACTACAATGGCACTGAATGAACAGGTTTCAGCTTTATACAGCATTTTGCAACATCAACATGCCTAGGTTTTTTTTATTTTTAAAGTTCGCTACCTACTTGTATGTAATATGTGTACATAAAAGTGGCAGCTGGTTTTTCCTTTAAGAGTAATCTAATATACAGAATTTTGGCCCTTAAGGGTTTATACCTCTTCATTTAAAATGCTTTCTGGACAATCTGCTATCAAACACATTTTGTTATAGGTGACATTAAAACTACATACAAATCTACCTATGTAACATCACAGCAAAACATGATGAACGAAAATTACAGCATCGAAAAGAGGGAGAAAGCTAAAGTCACTGAGAATTTTGGCACAGAGTTTTGCACATGGTCAGTCCGGTCAGTCCATGTCCTAAGGGCGCGGGGCATTCGACTGGGAGTTCAAAGGGGATCAAGGGTGGCCCCCCACTGGCGCTCATACAGCATCGCTAAAATTCCCTCACTAATTTTCAAGTCTTGTTTTACATAATGGCTTTTAAAGCAACTTTTGTTAATGCCACTGATCCTTAATGCAACTATTAATGTCCATTTGGTGGCATCTGGGTTTTATATAGCAAAAACAAAAACAAAAACCAAAAAAAAAA